AAAGAAAAACTCATGCACACATGTCAAACTGCCATTGACAAGAACGTAGGAGTTCCTACTTACAATAGGAGGGAAGTATTTTCCGATGTGGTAATCTCCTTTTAAGTCAAAAATTTTAAAATAAAGGTTGGTGGACATCACAGAGGGCCAAAAGTCTAGGTAATATTGCTAGTTCAAATTTTCTATAATTTAAAACGGAGGTTAGTACAACGCAAAGTGTACTATGCTAGCTATAAGTAAAAGGGTTGGGCTGAAAATTCGAAATGTAGCTCTCTCACTCCTTACAAAATCAAACTCACGATTTCCTTGGAGCTTGAAACTTGCTTAATTAGAGCTAATTGCTTTCTAATGTCCATCCTTCATTATAAATAAGGATCCAAATATAATTAAGTAGATCAAGCATAATGGAGGAGCTGCTCAAGATCCTAATTAGTTCTGTGCTTGTGTGTGTACCTCTCTACTACTACATTTTTAAGATTCGTGTCAACAGCACGAAAAATGAACGACTTGATCAGCATAAACTCCCACCGGGAAGCACAGGCTGGCCAATCATAGGTGAAACCCTCGAGTATCTAAGGACAGGAAAAAAGGGTGTCCCAGAAAAGTTCATAGCAGACAGGAGGAACAAGTACAAGAACTCTTCCTCCTCCTCCTCTGCGAATTGCAAGGTCTTCAAGACATCGTTGCTGTTCGAAGACATGGCCGTGCTCTGCACTGCCGCCGGAAACAAGTTCCTGTTTTCGAACGAGAAGAAGCTGGTCAAGTCGTGGTGGCCGCCTCACTTGGACAAGCTCATATTTGCCAACTCTGCTCCTGACCAGAAAGCAAAAGCATTCATCACCGAAGAGTCCACGCGATTTCGCAATACTATGGCTCCATATCTCAAGCCTGCAGGTCTCCAAAAGTATGTTGGGACCATGGACACTTTCACCAAAAAACATCTGGATATGTACTGGGAAGATGGAAAAGATGATGATCAAGTGATCAAGGCTCACCCGCTTGCAAAGAAGTATGCTTTCACAATGGCATGCAGGCTCATGTTAGACACAGAGGATCAACAAGTATTTACCAAACTAGAAAACCTAATGAAGGATTTGTCTTCAGGGTTCACTTCATTGCCAATCGATCTGCCCGGCACGCAGTTTAACCGCGCGATTCGAGGGTCCAGGCAACTCAGGGAAGAAATTAAGAATATTGTCACTCAAAGGAGGATACATCTTTCCACTCGTAAGGTGGACGAAGATGTTGATGGTTTAGATATTTTGTCCAGCTTGATCATGGACACAAGTAGCGACGGGCAAGGGCTGAGCGACTCGGAGATTGCCAGCAAGTTGTACGGCGTTATAGTTAGTGGCTATGACAATTTCAGCAGCACGTTGGCTACCATTGTCATGTATCTAGCAGAGCTTCCTCATGTCTACGATGCCGTCCTTAAAGGTAACCTATAAAATCATTCATTCTTATGGATTTTAATTAACTGCTAATTGATGAAGATCAAGATCTAATTATAAGTCGTGCTCATAGATTAGTCATAGTCATGTATTGATCCCTCAATGATGATCATGATCTAAGTCATACTTATATTTACGACCATGAATAGTGTGTAAGTGTTAACTTGAGTTGTAAATATTAGATGGGTTATTTCTCTAATTAAATTTGAAGTCACAAACACATGAAGTGTAGCATGTGGTTAACATGGCCACTTGTCCAGCCGCTGCATTTT